GCGGCCCCGCTCGGACCCGAGCTCCGCCGCGGCCGCCCGAGTGTGGGCGCCGCTCTATTTAAAGGCCCTTGATTGAGGAAACGTTGCACCGAGCGCCCAGGGTTTCCCTAATGAGACCTTCGGAGGGAGGCGACGGCCTTCGCTGGGTGCCCCGGGGGCTGGAGGGGGAGGGGGGAGCGTGGTTAACCCCTTCCTGCCCGCCTCGGGCGAAAGGGCCTGGGAGAAGAGCTCGGGAAACCGAGAGGCCACCCCGCCCAAGGGCGGCGACCTCGCCGGGCCCCAGCGGCCGGGCCCCGGCCTCCTGGACGACGAGGACCGAGGGGGTGGGGGGTCTGAACGGAGAAGGTAAAGCGGAGGGAAGGTGCGGCCCTGCGCCACCGTGGGGAGGGGGGAGGCGGGGCTGAGAGTCGGCGGCCGGTATCGCAGTGACCCCCCTTGGCTGCACCCAAAACCCCCCCACCCTACCTCGACCCTACAGCCCAGTCTGGCTCCCGGGCGCCCATGAGCCGGGGGACTAAGGTTTGGCACAGTCCGGAGGGGGAGGCTGGGCTCGGCCTGCAGCCGCGGGGGCCGCGGGGACGGTGGACTGGCCCGGCGGCTCCTTTGCTGTCGGGCTGGAAGGGGAGATTGGAAAAATGAAAAGACGAATATTTAGAGAGCAAGCCAGGCGTCTCTCTCTTGCGTCCGCTTTCAATCCCATCTTGCCCACACATCCCAGGGTTGGGTGTCCTGGCTTAGCCCCAATGTGCTGCTGAGGAATCTAGACTCAAGAGACAGAGGAGCTTGCCCAAGGTCACACCGCCAAACCGCGGGCACCGACGAGCCGGCCGGCCTACCCTATTCTGCGAACGGGCTCGGCGGCCCGAGGCAGCTCTCCGGGAGGCCAGGTCAAGGCTGGGGCTGGCGCCCTCAGACCCAGCGCCCCCTGCCAGCTCCACTGAGCGGGAGGTGCTGCGAGAGGAGGGTGAGGGGCTGCTCTTAAGGGATGACTCCTACTCTCATCACTTTGGAAATAAGGAAAATAATCCCGATTGCAATCGGCGTAGGTACTTAGGGCAACCTGAGTCTCTCTAAGGCATTACAAGCACTTGTCCGGACCCTCAAGGACCCCAAAGTCAGAGGAGGTCAAAGATGCTTCCTGTGGCATAGAAGCAAGAGGAGAGTTCAGAAGAAGAGAGAAGACTTGATTTGGGTGAGGAAAGATGGGAAGCAATATCTGGAGGGGCTTCCTGGAGGAGGTGGCATTTAAGATGAGTCTTGAAAAACCAAAGGAATGTGGGTTCTGAAACAGAGAGAGATGGGTGCTGGGCAGGTCAGTGGGTGCTAGACTATAATGAGAAACAGTGCTGCCCTTTCTGACCCACCTCTAGCTTTGAGAATAGGGGTTGATCACACCGTGAGCCATAGATCCAATCACTCCTAAAATCAGAAACCTAGAGTTTAGGGGGACTATTGACCCGCCTGCTGCCGCTGCCTTGAATTCGGGCAAGGGGGGGCTGTCAAAGAGGCTCCTAACTTCCCAACAGCACTCTCGCTGCTTTTCCGGTGGAATCGGGTCAGAGGTGTACCTTAGCACTCTGAAGTCTGTCTTTCTGGAGTACCAGGCAACTGTGGACCAGGATGTGGAAGCCACGCCCGCCCGAAGGGGGTTGATGACGGTTTCCTTTGTACTTCCCAGAAGAATGATCTGTGCCTTCTGTCAGGGAAAAGAAAGAAAGAAGGAAATCAGTCACGGATTTAGTGGAGTCTCCACATTCTGAATGGAATTCTGCTTTTTTTTTAAGTGCAACCAATTCCTCACTCCGTTTGAAGTTGGATGCTTTGCGAGCAGAATGCAGTTCCATATTTTGTTCCTCGAGGTTTGGGTCTATGATAACTCAAGTGGGCACTAACACAAGTATTCAAGAGAAGAGCCAGTTTCATCTGGAGAAACGCATAAAGTCGCGCCTCTCCAGAGTGCAGAAACATCATCTGGGACAACAAATTAGCCCCCCTGTGCTGCACGTTTCCAACAAGCATCCTGCCTTCTCTGTTTAGATTAGAACTTTTCTGCCTGTAATTATTTTTATTTTAATTTTCTGTCACTTTAACAGAAACCAGAGCCTTTCCTTTTAATGTTTTGTACACAACATGTTCGTTTTGATAAGATGTTCTTTCCTATCCTCTTTTAGTTTGCTTTTGCTTGTTTAAAGTTCAGTATCAGGAGTTTCTAATATTTCTCCCTCATTTTCCCCCTCTTTTTTTGAGAGCATGTCCCTGTCTTGCTTTATTTGTTTGTGTGAAATTTAGTTTGAAAGGAGATCAGAGAGAGCAGGAGGGGGTTGTAATAAGAGAATGACCGAATGACCCAAAGGCTGATTATCTATCATTAACTGGAGACTTGGTGTACCCAAATTACCAGGGAGACCTCAGTCTGCCGGATCCTTACCCCTTACCAGGCCAGAAAGGCGAGCATGGAATGCACTCACTGAAACCGACTCAGGACTTTGCAACTGGGGACCGCCGCTCACACAACATTTTCTTAAAGAAGTTCCCTTCAAAATGCAACTCTTGTTCAATGGGCACCGTTGATGAAATTCTCACACGTTGCACACAGGTAGAAATTTCTGCCTAAAGACTAACGTTCACATTTCTGGAACTAACTTTTTTTGTGTTGTCTCATTTGGGAGCAAAAATTGCAGTTAATTGTCTAAGCTCCAGAGACTATTGAGAAACCAAGCCAAGCTGCTTTTGATCTGCTCGTGCTGCTGCACCCACACCTTGTAAAAATCGAGGTTTTCCATTAATATTGACAATAAAAGTGTTTCTTTTTGTTAACCTGAAACCTAACCATCCTGGCTCAAGTCCCTTGTCTAGAAGCAAAGGCCCTAGAATAAAGCAGAAAAGGTTGGGAAGAAACTGCCAGGGCTAAAGAAATCCAGCTATGTGAATACAGAGCACAACTCCCCAGAAATGTGAGTAAAACTGCAGTGCAATAGAAAATAGGCCAGGGTTTCTAACCACAAGCAAATTTTTCAGTCGCATAAATGGCTTTTCCAATGCCCCACCTTTCAAGTTGCCCTTTTCTCTATTTTATTTTCGCTCCCGTTTTATCTTGAGACCCAGGCTGCACTGTAATCTGCACTGACGGACGCTGATTACTTGCTGTGTCCGTAGGGTGTGTATGCAAACTCACAATCACTTCTTCATCGGAACACTGAATGTCTTCCTTGCAAGAAAATATTGCTAGTGGATTGGATGTCATTTGGGGAAAGATGGGCTGTCTGCTCCCATAAAGATTTACAGTCCCAGAAACGGAAGAGGATGTCCTACTCTGTCTATAGGGTCGCTATGAGAGGGAAGCCATAGGGTAGCAGTGCTTTTGTTTCACTTAGTTTTTGTTGTTGTTTTGTATGTAGTTTGCTTAAAAGGAATGCTGATGTGGGATATATTTCCTTATGCTACTTCTGTTCCAAACTTTACATTTCTGGACAAAGTAACAGTATCAGGTTTACCATGCCTTTCAGGACCAGTATAATGACCCTAATAACGCCTCTCATGAATACATCACATTACCTCTTGTGAGACCTTTTCAATGCATCAACTTATTTTTCCTTTTGTCTGAATATGTATTTTAGCTTTACTAACTGGAGACTGGGTATTGTCTGGAACAGCTGGCAAATTACCAAGTTCTCCCTGATCAACAAAAAACCTCCAGAACCCCGTGTGTCTAACTGTTCACCTGGGGAGGTCTGGACATTGGCTGCGGGGCAATGCTATATATTAAAATCTTTCTCAACCATCTTAAAGATAAACTGGCTTCTCATTCTTCTTCCTCAGACTCAGCCAGTGATGTCAGAAACCATGTAAACCCAAACATCACTGGAAGGCACATTAGAAGAGAGAGAATGAAGACAGACGGAAGGGTTGGATTTTTAGGCACCCAACAAGTCCTGATTCCCCACACATACACTGACTTAAATGTTTCCCAACCAGAAAGGTTCATCAGCAAGCAGCCTTTCCACAGCCTCCACAGCAGTTAAGACTCTCCCAACACCAATCTCCACTGGTCTGTTTTGGATGGGAGAAGGGGAGGAGGAAGAAGGCTCACTCACCAAATACCCTGCCTCCAATTTTGACTCCCAAAGGAAATGATCAGAAGAAATACAATCTTCTAAGAGCCAAGGGCAGCTTTTCCTGCCCTTCCTTCTTAAAACATACACTCATGTCCAACTGAAATTGATTCTATTTTGTAAATGTGCACTTTGGGCAACAAAGTTTGGGAGCCACACTCCAATGCCATGTCCTTAGACAACCACTCTTCCCCAAAAGGGCAATTAGGAAGGGAAGGGCTACAAAACCCCAGTTGAAGAGGATCCTGGCCACCTCATCTTGGGTCTTCAAAAGATTCTAGAACTAACTAGCTACTACGTAAAATGACCCATCCCACCCCAGGACAGCCAGAACAGAAAGCTGCACTATCACAGGAACTAAAATCCTTGGAGTGGGTGCGGTTGAGGACGCAGCTTCAGCACACTTCTTTTTGTTTGTTTGTTTGTTTATTTGTTTTCCTGGGCCCCTTCAGGAATGCTCTGCCTCCAGTTCTTAGCACTGTTTGGGGTTCATTTGAAATGAAGGCAGCTTGGCTATTTAGGGAAATGTTCAAAGTCATTTCTCCTATATTGGTTAGAAAAACAAGGTAAAGCCAGATTTGAGAAATTGCAAAGAGAATCAAGCTGTAATTCCTGCAAATCCTGCAAACATAATGTGTGTGTTTATGGCCCTCTGGCCTGGTTCTTTTCAGGTCCAATATATTTTGAGTTTTCATGAGCGAAATATCAGATACAAGCTGCCCTTGCCTTTGAAATAATAAATACCACAAAATGATATGTATTTTCCCTCAAAGCGAACTGTAGTTTAAAAATATATATGGAATGTAAAGCAGATTGATTTTTCAAGTAATATCTCACAAGACCAAAATGTTTGCCAGGGAGTGCCCAGCCATGCTGTTTACATCTTGTCCAAGGGAAGTGGGGTGACCAGACCAGGCAAGAGATGTGAAAACAAAAATCAGTGTTTGAATTCGGTAGAGTTTTTTAATCCGTGACAAAGTAATGCAAGGCAGAAGGGGTTCACCATTCGATATGGCCAAGAATAGGGGCACGGGATCACAAACAGGGCTCCAATCTAATGGTCCCTCCTGTGACTGGGATCCCCAGACTGGGTGAAGGTACCTGGGAGGAGGGGTACATGGAGGGCAGTAGCATGCCCTCCATAGGGTCACTCCTGTTGGTACCCAAGACAGCCCCAAGTTGCCATTCTCTAAGTCCCCTGGGCTCTTGAGGTCTCTGAACATGTGTCCTCTAGAGTAAATTAGGACATGCAGTGCCCTAGCTGACACCTAAACCAAGGGCTGTGGCCTCCACACCCCTCCCACCACTTCTCCCCTCCTCAGTACCAACATCTCTATCACCACCAATTCAACTGGGGACAAACCCAAGATGTTATCTTTGCTTCCATGCTTTCCAGAGCAACAGGCTACTCAGCAGCCCCAGGAGATCTGGAGCTAAATATGCCAAAGAAGAAACAAAGAGTGTGTGTGTGTGTGTGTGTGTGTGTGTGTGTGTGTGTGTGTGTGTGTGTGTGTAGGTTGGGGGGATATACATTCAGGGTAGGGTGTACTTGGGTAAAACAAGAGCTTGGCCCTTCTTGGTCAATCATTACTTTTAAAGAAACCATTGGCATTGCCCAATTAGTTTTCTCTATCCAGACCACCTGAAGTGGTAGGCCGACTCTGAGTTTGAGTTTCTGAGATACAGGAACCTCTAGACTCTTGGAAAGGACCACAGTAATTAGATGATAATGATGCTGCCAGTGAAGACTAATGCTCAGATTAGCATCTTTTATAACTTCCACCACCCAAGGTTGTCCATTTATTTACTCTTTTTTGGTGCTATCTGGTCGACTATGAAGTGGTTCCCTTTTTGTTTTTTGTTTTCAACTAAAAGAGCATGAGAAAGGTTGCTCTTGTCCAGTTCTGGGGCCTTCCCTTCTGAGGTCATTCACCCTGTGTGGACAGAACATCCCCAATCCCAACCACAAGCCCTCAACTTAACCCCGTTCCCCTTCCTTCCAGCCTCACAATTCCATCTGGGTTTGAACTACTTCCCCTGAATTGTTGTGTTCCCAGGCTGGCTGCATCCAATCACTTGCTCGGTCTACCTGTTTCCAAGACCTAGAAGTGTTTTTATAAACAGACTTTTAAAAAACTCATCAAATGTCATCGTGTTGAACTCCACATATTTACACATCCAGAATTTCCCTGCCTGGTGAGGCTGTAAACAGAGCACCCTGGACCACACTATCTATATTCTTTCCTTGAACAGACAGGTCTTAAAAAGGCTCTCCTTGGGTGGGGGAAACTGCAGACCCACTTCGGTTTAGGGTTGGAAGCTGTAGGTTGCAGTTAGTTGGTCTTGCCTCAGCACAAATGCAAGACTGCGCGGCCAAAGAGACTGCTTACTCCTAACCCCAGTCTCTGACTTAGGACACTGGGAACCTGCAGGCCTGCGCCTTCTACGGACCTGGTAGAATGGATCCCGGACAAACGCTTTGCTTGGGTTTTTATGGACTCCCCTTGCCTGTGGCCCAGATTTCACAAACGTAAAAACATTGTTCAGGAACCGGGATTTGGGGTTAACCCTGAGAGTCCTAGGTCCTGACAGAGCAGCACTAGGTGCTTCAAGCATCCTCCATTCCTGGTGATCCTTGCCTTCTCCTGCCGAACTTCCCATCCCCAGAAAAGGGGACGTGGTCCCTAACTCCTCAGGTGTGAGGAGCCTGGGTCATCCCTTGAGGCCCTGAGTGGGCTTTGCCTCCTTCCAAAGGGCGATCTCTGAGATGGAATGTTTTTAGTCTCCCAGGCCCAGCGGGGAGTCCAGGCCACCCAGGCTCCTGCCCCTTCTGCCTTCCTCTCCCTGTAACTCTTTTCTGCTTGGCCTCTGGTTGGCAGGCTTTTCCACATGGAACTCCACCAGGTTGAATCCCAGCTCAACCTCAGTTTCCCTCGGCGTTGGGGGCCAAAGCCCTGGGGTGCTTTCAGCTACCGCCCAAGCCCTTACCACCTGGAGTTTTCCAAAGACCCTCACGCCTTGCGGGCGCCCAGGCCCAGTCCCAGTCCCAGCCCCAGCCCCGCCGGAGGCCGGTAACTTACAAGCGGGGATCCCCTTTCCGTTGTAATGCGTTCAAGATCGCCAAGGCGAGCAGTCTAAACATCCACGAGCCGTCCTCCCCGCCTGCCTCTTAAACTGGCGTTTAATGGTTCCTCCCCATAACTAAACCTGCTTTCCACAGATGCCCGCTTTTATGGGGGCGGCAGGAATGCAGAGATATATTTATATGTTTGTTCATAAAAACTGGAAAATAAGCTCTGAACACGCTGTAAAAAATATTCAGTTACTTACCAAACAGGCTAGTTAAACCATGGGAACACCGAGATTCGCCACACCACGGATTCGGGCAACCGAGGTGCCAGCGCTTTGAAATCACCCCCACGGTATACCTCGGGGTGGACGTCCCTGAAGAATAAAGAAACAAGAGCATTTACCGTGGCTTGATCCACCCACCGCCCAGGGGTCTCAAAGAAGGCCTGGAAGAGCAGTCCCAAGAACATCAGCTCCCTCCCGCCCTGTCCCGCGGGCCCCGGGAAGAGCCGGGGAAGGAGCGGATGTCTCCAGCCCGCCGCGAGGCCGAGCCGCCGCCTTCCCCGCCGCCGCCGCCGGGCTGACCGCGGCAGCTGGGTTCCCACCAGCCTTTGTGGGACCCCGCCTCCTCCCGTCTCGGCTGACGACCCCCGCCCGGAGTCGGCTCGCTCATTCTCTGGTCTCCGTCGCCTACCAAACACTTTTAAAAAACCAGTTTCGTTCTTTTAGTCCGTGAAGACCGAGGAGTGATACTGTCCCTGGTAGGAGATTCTTCAATCCTCGAGACTGGGGTGGGGGGCTGCGGGGGTGGGGGGTGGAATTTAATGGGGAAGCATCTGTTAAACACTTGCATTAACCTCGAGCTGATAAAAAGGTTGTTTTTTTTTAACCCTGCCCCCCTTCGTTTTAATTATCTTATGATTATGAAGGGGCAGCCAATCCCGAAAGAGGACCTCGGCAATTAGCAACTTGAACATCAAAAAAGTTTTATTGCGGAGAGCTGGAGGCGCCGCCCCCGCCGCCCCGGGATTGGCGTGCGGAGCCTCTGACGCCGTATATTAACCGGAGCTGCCCTCAAGATGTAGCTGTACATGGAGCTCTGGCTGGGGGAGACGCTTGCTCCCCTCGCGGAGTCCACCCCGGGCCCGCCGCCGCCGCCGCCACCGCCGCCGCCGCCACCCTCGGCGCTGCTCGGACTCCTCCAAGCACCCGACTCGTCACCCTCGCGCCCCACCAGCGACGACGGGGCCCTAGATCCTTCCCCCCGAAGGAGAGGATCTGAGAAAATGGATGCACGGAGATCTCCCTGAAAATCTTCCGAGAGCGCGCCGGAGAAGAGAGGACGCGTCCCTTGCGGCTAAAATCACATTCAAGGATCAAAACAATAACCATCACCAAAAAAAAAAATCATTAAAACAATAAGCGCCCAAGAACCCAGACCGGGCTTGAAGGGGGGGGGGGAAGGGGCGGGAAGGGGAGGGTCGCC